GGTGCGTTGAAATCCGGGCTGGCAGGTGAGTTTAGAGGAGTGCCCCCACTGTAGGACCTGGGAACGTGCAACCTCAGGGACGAACTTTCTATCAGGAGGGCCGGTTCCAGTGTCCGGGTGTTTCCGGAGGGCCTTGTCCACCATGGTGTCGATCTCCCAAGAGGCAGAGCCGAGGATACAGGAGGCAGGGAGGATGGTGTCCGATTCTCTGGGGTCTGAGGTAGCTGAGGAGTAGATCCGGGTGTCAGGTTTGAGGCTGCGGGAGCCAGGACAATAGGAAAGGGTGACGGTGAATCTGTTGAGGAAGAGGAACCAGCGGGCTTGCCTGGAGTTGAGGCGTCAAGCGGAATAGAGGTACTGAAGGTTCTTGAAGTCAGTCCAGATGAGGAATGGGTGTTGTGCTCCTTCCAGCCAGTGTCTCCATTCTCGGAGTGCCCACACAACAGCCAGCAACTCACGGTCTTCCACATCATATTTTCGTTCGGTGGGTGAGAATTTTCGAGAGAAGTAGGCGCAAGGATGGAGCTTCTGGATCTCAGGATCCCCCTGTGAGAGGACAGCCCCCACTCCGGAGTCCAAGGCGTCAATCTCCACCACGAATTGGAGAGATGGATCCGGGTGTTTGAGCACAGGGGCGGAGCGGAGGCAATGAGGACTACAGGCGGAGATTGAAGCTGTGGACCAGTTGATTTGGGGATTGTGGATCTGCAGCCACGGGAGTCCAAGCACGTGGGGGAAATGCGGAGAGGGAAGCAGGAACAACTGGATGTCCTCACAACGGTTTCCCGAAAGGATGAGGGTGAGAGGAGTAGTGTAGACAGGATAATCAAACACCTTGCGAAGTTCCTCAGTGAATCTGGCGTATAAGGACAACATCGGTGAATAGTTTTCCCAAATGGCAGTAGCCCACTTAGTGGCTTTGCCTCTTAACAGATTGACAGTGTTGGCTATTTTGGATTTATCTGAGGGGTAACCAATAGGCTGCTGATCAAAGACAAGGGCACAGCGGAGCAAGAAACCTCTGCAGCCCCCAATCTCCCCAGCATACGGCTCGGGAGGAGGGCCATACGGCTCTTTGAATACAGGAGAGGGTGAAGAGGGGGCCGTACTCACAGAGGGGGGAGACCCAGATTGCTGCGAGGGGGAGCCGGGAGAGGAGTTGATCCGCGAGTTGCGCTACTTGAACAGTGAGGCCTTGAAAGGCTTGGTTGAGGCCCTGGAGCAAGTCCTCGTGTTGACTGAGGCGAAGTCCGAGCTTTTAGACGGCTTGTTGGTCTCTGTCTGGGTCTGCTGGGTCCATTTTCCTGGCCTGTGTATTCTGTGGCGTGTGGTGTATTTTGTGGACCCAGAAGCAGACAGATAGTAACTTAAAGATGTAATTTTAATGTCCAACTCAAGGGAAAAGGCACAAGAAAAAGTCCGGTTGGCTGGCTGGCTGTTGTGTGGGCTGGAGACACTGTGGAGAAAACAGAGGAGATAGAAGTGAGAAGTGAGAAGAGCAAAAATTACTAGCACTTAGCCAAGGAGAAGGCCGGGAGAAGCGTCTGTACCACTGAGGAGTGAAGACAATACTCAGGCGCTGAGACTGAGGGCTGCTGGCTTTTTCAAGAGGCTTGATTGCCAATGCAGCGCAGGTGTGAAGTCTCTCTCAGCCTCAGCGATGGGGGGGAAGAGAAAGTGCACTGAAACAACAGTCAAGCCAGACCAGGAACACAAGGAAAACAGGAAGTTAAACCAAAATAAAACAGGAAGAAGAGGCATCTCACCATACTGCTGGACTCATCAGGTCCCATCAGAGTCACTGATAGAGTCTTTAATTAAGGCCCTGAACTCCTTCATCCTGCAGGTTCCTCTTAGCTAGGTGCAAATATGACTCAACCCCAAAATAAAAGTTCTAACCAAAGGTTTCGCAACTGTTTTTTATCGTATTAGATGTCCTTCATTTGACCACTAGAAAGGCATCATTTTCAAGATGGCATCCATGATGGTAGGAAGCCCGGGGAGACCCCCCAGGTAAATAGGGTAAAATTTTTAACAAACATATATCACCATGAATCTAATACTATAAAAAACAGCTGAGAAACCTGGTGTTATTTTTTTCATATATGCATCCGTCTATCTTGATGTTGGATGTTCTCACCTGTTCTGATGAATCCACCTGTTGAGAATCCCCTCTCAGATTTATCCCATGTCAGCATCTTTGTCCCTCCCCCCCTCTCTCTCACTCTTTCTCTCCCACAGATATCCAAAGCGCCCGTGCTAATGTCATTGTTTCACTAATTATCCCTTTAATTCAGTTAAGAGGAGCTAACAGCGCTAACACTGACGCTAAAAGTAGATTCATCCTGAGCAGAGAATCGAATTAAGAGGAAATGCTTAGAATCACAGAATCCTTTCTGAGGATAATCCTGTTTGCTGGCATTAACATCCCAGCTGCTGTGTGTGTGTGTGTGTGTATGTGTGTGTGTGTGTGTGTGTGTGTGTGTGTGTGTGTGTGTGTGTGTGTGTCAGCAGCACCTAAAGCCTGCAGGATCATCTCTGTCACAAACAGCTGTTTCCTGCTGCTGCAGGCCGAAGCTCTGTGACCTTCAGTCTAAAGATCAGGAGACTGGTCAGTGTGTGTGTGTGTGTGTGTGTGTGTGTGTGTGTGTGTGTGTGTGTGTGTGTGTGTGTGTGTGTGTGTGTGTGTGTGTGTGTGTGTGTGTGTGTGTGTTTGACAGCTGTTGTTTAAGGTCATATCTTGTTTCAGAGACATTCTGGACCCAGGTGAGGTGATTGGTGCAGATTTTTACCTGTGTGGTGGTTTTTCTGTGGTTTAAGGGGAACACTGGCAGCGGTGTAAAGGTAATACTGGTCCTGGTTTCAGGTTTCTGACAACAGCTGCTTTTACGTACTTTTAGACATTTTCTTATTTCAGGGAACTCAGTCAGAAAATTATCTATTAATTCAGGTCATATTAGTGAAAGTAGTGATGAAGATAAGTGGTTATAGACCACGCAGTGACACATCAGACCTCAGGACAGGTTTCCCCTTAGTCCTCCTTAAAGTTGAGGTAGCCAGGATCTGAGGAAGTTCCAGTTTTTGGGAGGAATCTTGAATGTAAATTCTACCCCTACCAACTAGTTTTACCCTCAGCCCCTCCTCTCCCCTCCCTCTCTGCTCCAGCAAGCCCCACCCTCAAACAGACGCTCCTGCTCGCTCGTATCGTTCCAATTAAATTCAGATATAATGCAGATAAATACTTCAGATAATTACAAATGGGGCCCAGTCAATGTGAAAATAAAAAGCATTGGTGCTACTGTAGATGCCAACAGACTACCAGCAAACACAATGTCTGCAGGACCTCTACAACTAGGATAAAGTGACATAGTCCAGGACCCGAGGTCAACAGTTTAGCGGCGCTACAACATGCTACAGCAGGTCCCATTTGACAAGAAACACTTCTGTTACAGACACTTGGCTTACTTACCTTTACTATCACTTCCTTGTTTTGCTCAGTGTTTACAGTTTGGCACGTAGACAATAATTTTGAACAGATTTATGAATGTTACTATAGTCTCAGAACACCTGATATGTGCATATGTGTGTGTGTGTGTCTGTGTGTTTCTGTATGAGGTGTGTGTGTGTGTGTTTAAATATGAGGTGTGTTCGTGCGTGCGTGTGTGTGTGTGCGTCTGTGTGTGTGTTTGTGTGTGAGTAGCTGTAAATAAGTCATCATGAGGGGGCGGGACGACCTGTGATGTGTAAAAAATGAAGAGAGCAAACCAGAGGCCAGGAGGTAAAGCGGGTGAAATTTATTTTTCAACCTCTGTCAGTGAGGAGCATTAATCTGAGACCCCCGCCTTCTGCTCGCTCATCCCAAACATTAAATATCACCTGCTCTGATTAATCCCAACTTAATTAAATCCATCAGGCACACAATGGCCGGCCAATGAGCTGTGTAATCATTCACACAGTAAATTAAAGGAGGAGACGCTGCTCGGTGTTTCCTCTGACAGAGATGGAGAGGACGGAGCAGAGGGCCCAGAAACTCAGCTGTAACAGACACACACACACACACACACACACACACACACACACACACACACACACACACACACACACACACACACACACACACACACACACACACACACACCTCTGTCCATTCTTTGATGAAAACATCAGATGTTGTCCTATTTCTCCTCTGTCTGAGACTTTAACAGTAACTCTGGTTGTTCGTCTGTGTTTCCTCTGTAAAACTAAAGTGATGAAACAATGAGACCGAAAGAGAAAGCGGACTGGACTTCAGAACTGGGTTTCCTCCAATTTCCACCACATCCAGAACGGCTAAGAAAAGGTCATATCCTCCGATCGTAGCTGATCGTAACCATTCAAGTAAACGTGTCAATTTCCACCGGCTTCTTTCTCAAACTCCACTTGATCCACTTGATCTAAGGTGTTTACATGCACTTCAGTGGTCGGTCTTAATCGGAATAAGGTGATAATTCAGTTTTCTTGAGTGTCATGGAAACGTACTGTATGATTTTCAATTCTACGTTGAAAGGACAACTGGACATAGTTGAGACGTCCTTTCCATGCGGAGATTTCCACTCCAGAATCATGTGACTAACCTGTTGGACATAGTTGGTTTGAAATCATCTGAAAACCATAAAAATCGGTTTTTACTTACAATCATTTTATCCTTTTAACCCCGGTACATGGATTTAATTTGATTGAAAAACCGTTTTTTTTTTTTCTGTGTCTCTGATTCTGGAGTTATCTCTGCACTGAGTCTCAGATTTGTTCTGACCCATCCAATCACAGTCTTACTGGCAATTTCCACGGCTATGAAAAGGTCGTATCCTTGGATCGTAGCTGATCGTAACCATTCAAGTTAATGTGTCAATTTCCACCGGCTTCTATCCGTTCCTCTGCGGATCGCCGGACTCCATAGCTGATCGCAAGAGTTCTATTTTTTGCCGGAGCATGCTGGATAAATTCAGCACAGATTAACCCATGCTGGAAAGGAAGTCGGGCACAGACACAAAATAAAACATCCGGCTTCTTTTCAAAATAAAACACTCTGTTTTTCAGGAGGATCATATTTCACACCATGCAAACAGGCGGAGACGAACAAGTGAAAGGTTTTTAGACATCATTTCACCCTGATGACACCATGGATGAGGAGATGCTGATTCTAGAAGTCTAGAAGCAGATTTTCTTCTCTGAAAGGACACAATCTACTGCTCAAATGTCTATGTGTCTGTCTTTAGAGAGACAACTTGTTACGGTGCGATTTAACGTGAATCTGTGGGTTTTTGTGAGTTCTCGCAATTATCTCTGTCCGTAATCTGCCAATTAATTCACCTCACAAACAGATCCGGTAGGGATTGGCAGACGGCGAAAATCACCGCCATTCCGGATGCGATGAAAATGAACTATTTGACGTTGGCAGAAATACTGTCCAGATCTACAAGAACATCTGGGACGAGAGCATCTGTTTAGCTTCAGCTGTTCATGGTCTGATTTAAGTCAGAATAAATCTACCTGACAGGTCCAGAAACATGAATTATTTCAAGACATGCAGGTTAGAACTAAGAGGAGACCAGATAGAGACAGGATCCAGAACCACCAGAGACTTCTCTTGAACTGCGACCGTTTAAGATGGACTGAGGGAATGAGGAGAACTTTCCTGAGGTCTGGTGGATCAAAATCTAACACTCTTTTCGAAAGGACAACTGGCCTAAGGCGAAACATCTCAACTAAGTCCAGTTGTCCTTTGAACATAGAATTGGAAATCATAGATGTTGGCATAAGAGTTGGCTTGTTCTCATCTCTAAGTCCATTTGCAGCATCATGACCCCAGAACCAGGACCAAGGAGACCCTTAAAAAGACCATGTTGGGATGATCAGCTGATCTCACTGTAAATAAAACAGAAGTAGTCTTGCTCTGGTCTATTTTCAGTTATATCCAAATGAACAGCGGATTAATTAATCTCTTATTGATTGACTAATTGTCTGAGTGGTTACTCTCACTAGCAGGTTAAAAGGTTTTTTAGTCGGGGGGGGTGGGGGGGGGGGGTGATGGATCCCTGGTGAACATTTGTGGCGCATGCCGAAGCGATCAGTGGAGCAGAGCTGATCGTATCAGTGAGTGATCCCATCGATCAGTCAGGATCCCCAGAGACAAGCACTCAGTTAAACGGGGGGGGGGGGGTGCACAAAAACAGGACGCCATCGGAGGCGTGTGCTGTGATTGTTATCTGTAAGAGAAAGCTCTGAATATGATTACCCCCCCCCCCCACCACACACACACACACACACACACACACACACACTATCATTAACATTGTAATGGGGCATCTGTCAGAGTGTGACCTGCTGCTGAATGGAGGGGGGGGGGACGCACACACAGGAAGTCATGTGTTCTCCTCTCTGACCCCCTGATATCACTCCATTAATTAACCTGAGCGCCCCCCCCCCCGGCTCACCTGCCTGTTGTAGGGTTTCTCTGCACAGACCCCTCACCTGTGTGTGTGTGTGTGTGTGCATGTGTGTGGGGTGTTCTTAACTAAATGAGTGATCATGTAAATCAGAGCAACACGACAACAGCAACACCTGTCGAGAGCGGCCTTCATAATGAACAGGTTAATGAACAGAGCAGATTATAATCACTTTAATAATCCTGTCATTAAACCACAGAGTGGGGGGACAGAAGTAAAAACTGCAGTACCGCCACTGTCCACCGGAGGCTGTGTCTGAAAATGAGTCCGTCCCCATGGAGCCTCATGTTAAAGGGTCCAACAGCAGAAATAAACACCTGTGCAGTCTGGAACAACAACCAGGTTTGGTCTACAGAGGTTTTTATTTTATAATTTTTTATTTTTCAATTTTTTGTATTTCAATATTTTTTATTTAATCATTTTTTATTTTTTTAATTAAAAAGAAAGGGACAATGAAGACGTTTTTGAATTTTCTAGAATACATATTTATATTTTATTATTATTTTTCAATTATTTTTATTTGATAATTTAATGATTTTTGAAATTTTATTATTTTTTTATTTTTTATTTAACTATTTTCATTTTATTGTTTTTAATTTTATTATTCTTTTTTTCTTTAATTTAATTATTTTCTTTATTTTATTATTCATTTTATTTTACATGTTATTATTTTTAATGTTATAATTTTAATTTTTTTTATTTTTGGAAAAAGTAATGTTGGAATTGTTTTAAATTTTCTAGAATATGTATTTTTATTTTATTATTTTTTATTTTAATATATATTTTTTTATTTTATCATTTTTTATTATTAGAAAAAGTGACAATAAAGACGTTTTTGAATTTTTTGAATACGTATTTACAGCTAATTATAATTTTTTAAAGTAATTTTTAAATTTTTAAATTAATTATTTTTTAATTTGCTTTTTAATTATTTTTTATATCATTATTTTCAATTGTTCAAGTTAATCAAATTTTATTTATATAGAGCCAATTCACAACAGTCGTCATCTCAAGATGCTTTTCAAAGAACAGCAGGTCTTGACCACACTCTTTGTTTGATGACCAAGAACCAACCTAAGATGGGTTTTGGCCCATCTCAACTAACATGAGTAGAAAAAGTCACTTTGAAGACATTTGAAATTTTCTGGAATATGTCAATCAAATCTTCAGTCAAACAAAGTCAAAGTCTCTTAGTATTTCAACGCTCTTTGCTGCTAGTTTAGAGAATCATTAAATCGTTCAGTTGTGTCCTGGTGAAAATAAACTATAAATAAGTAAAGATGAGGATCCAGCTTAAAGGACAGTCAGCTAGGACTGAACCCGGTTCAGCACCCCACAAACAGGTAGTCCAGACTCCACATATGAGAGCGCTGCAGCTGCAGGAACCATGAACACCGGTGTGTTTTTAACTGGCCTGAGCTGGAGCAGAGAGGACGAAGGTAGGGCATGTGCTCCCTGAGTACTGTCCTACAGGCTGTATGCTGCTGCTGTCTGACAGGCTGCAGGCAGGAAGCAGCTTGCAGGTGTCAGAGTCCATCAGGTGTTAGCCGCGAAGCGAGCGCGCTGTCGAGCTAAAGGTCAGCGTGAAAAAAAGGGAAAGTTGTTGTCAGAGCAGGAGAACAGAGCGTCTGTGTCACAGATTAATCTGAGAATCATTGTCATGCATCTGTGTGTGAATAATTCTCAGCCAAAGATACATTTCTGGATTAATTCTGCAGCTTTCCCACCGCAGCGAGAGAGAGAGTGGGAGAGGAAGAGAAAGAGAGATGAGCGGTGGGAACAGAGCGAGCACGCTCCGAAGATTAGAATATATGTGTGCATTTATATTACCTCCTTTACTGTCAGCTAAATTATTCATGTCATCCAGATCCAGTCAGTCCCAGAGAGCTCCTGCTCAGACCAAACAGCCAACAGCTTTTTCATTTCATTTTAATAAAGAGCTCTGCAGCTGATCGGCCCCCTCCTCACATTAATGTGTTGGTTTACAGTCTCTGTCTTTGTTTTGGAGACTCTGATGTGCTGTTGACTGGATATACAGCCTAAAGGTTTTCAATTATGTGGCCTAAACATGACGACGACGACGACAACGACGACGATGATGATGATGTCAGGTGTCACACAGCTGATTTACAGCTGAGAGGAGAATCAGCTGATTAATTTCACCACCAAGGAGGAGTCACAGAGTCTGACTTTGATGCCACAGAAATTACACTACCTCCTCCTACAGAGGAACAAACACAATTCTGAAAAAGACAGGACACTATGAAAGATCAATAACTGCAGATCAATAAAATCTTCAATGATGCGAATGTCCAACAAGTTAATCACATGACTCTGAAGTGGAAATGAACGCATAGAAAAGACAACAGGATTTACCCCCAATTCCACATCCTGAATGCAGGGCTCTCAAGTTTTAAACTAAGCTTGGAGTGAGATTTTCTTCTTTTTTTCCGGGGGTGGGGGGCTGCTAATCCTTTGGATCATCAGCATAACATTGTCAGGGGTATCATAACTTTAAAAAGAATATATGAGAAATGCATCTTTTCCACAGAAAAAAAGATGGACTTTGAGGGAAATAGCTGGAAGTGGCTGTACAGAGGCTGAATCCGTCAATGCAGCTGTTAATAGCAATAGCATAGGGCTTTAGTTTATATGAGCCTATATGCCATGAGGTGTTGAGGCCTCTGCAGGTGTAGGTTACTGACTTACTGTAATGATTGGATATTTTTCGTGCTTACGAAACCTGCTTCATTTCAGGTGGAGACGAACAAGTGAAAGGTTTTTCGATGTCATTTCACCCCGATGACACCATGGATGAGGAGATGCTGATTCTAGAAGTCTAGAAGTAGATTTCCTCCTCTGGAAGGACACAATCTACTGCTTATATGTCTATTTGTCTGTCTTAATAGAGACAACTCGTTATAGCGCGATTGAACGTGAATCCGCAGGTTCTTGTCAGTTCTCACGATTACTGCTGTCACGAAATTCGCCTCACAAATGGATCCAGTAAGAGTTGGCCGTTCAGGATGCAGTGGAAAATCAGGTAAAGACACAGAGACGCAGCAGAGACAGATACAGTGAAGCTGAGACTCAGTTTGACAGACTGATGTTGTCTCTGTCGGAGGTTAGGGTCAAACTCTTCTTCACCTTAAAAAATAAAACCATCTGGAGCCTCAAAGCTTCCATACCAGGTTGATTTTAGACTGCTAACATCTCCACCTGACACCGGAGTTTAACTCCGCCCTCTTGTCAGAGAAGCTGCTCCTGTAGGTGGATGAGGAAGTTCTGGAAAGAGCAGACTCTGTAAATGTCCTTCAGATTTGTTCTGCACTTCTTTAAAGCGTTCAGTCGACCCAAGCATTTGCCCTTTAACAGAATCTCTCTATCTCTCTCTCTCTCCTCCTGCAGATGTTCGGCCCGCCCTGCCATGAATCTGCAATTATTGATGGCTTCATATAAGCAGTGAACTTCTCCAATCGGCCCGCATGGTAATTGTAAAGGAAGTCATATGCATAAAATTAATTATACGGCGCAATAAGGCCCATAAATCAGGTCAGTATCAATTCAGCTGAAAATGCTTCACGCTCAAGCTCCTCTGCAGAGTTCAAGGTAAAAAAAGACGAGGATTCCCCTTTTTGAGCGAATCAGGGAACTAATCTGTCAGAGGACAAAGAAACATCCAACACAAAGCTCTGAGCGCTGAGTGATGGGCTCTA